CTTCAACATATGCGGGGATGCGGTTCTCGAATGAACGTTCCCTAAATGGGTATGCACCCAGCGGAAGGCTACTTTTGGAATACCGGGTTGGCCACTGCATTGTCTGCATTATGCCAACACTTGACTACACCTACGTCACAAAATCGCAAAACAAACTCGGATTTTTTTCACCCCAAAACGGTGCCTTTCCAAGAGATTCGCTTTTCTAACACAGTTTTTATTGTCTTGCAGTTGGCCTAAATTATCAAAGAACCAAAAAGTTCTAGAACAGCTTAACAATGTTATACGCAGAAGGTCATTATTTTGTTAATCAACAGCATTGATTCTTTCTGCCAATTTCAGAAGGCGTTTGTCATTGAGCGCTGCTCCTTCAAGATTCTGCAAGTACTCCGCGAAAGGGAAAATGCATACACGTCAGACGACCTCCTGTGACCTCAAAGTATACGTGGATCACTGCTTCTCTGTTTCGGATTCACAGAATCTGAGGAAAAACATTAAATTGCTATGCAACACAGCGAAGGGTTGCAGGGTTTACTTGACACTGACCTGGAATGAAATGTTCTCAGCCGTCATTTTTTTGCGATTCGAGAATGACAAGCCAATTCCAGACATTTTCGACGCTCTAGTGACTGATGGAGAGAGGAAACCTGCTCAACTGACTAGTGATGATGATGTTCAGAGGTGCCTTGTTCACTTCCTCTCTAACGTGGCTTCAGGTTTCGACACAGTCAGTCCCTGTGTTCTTAAACTTTGTTCAGCTGAACTACGCGACGTAATGTGGAATGTGATCAACTATCGCTTTCGCCACGCACTAGTTCCGGACATACAGAGACTGATATCGATTAAATTAGTGCAAAAAAAGAAATCGCCCTTGACAGATTCTCGCCAAAATCGTTGACTTCTGCAGTGCTCAAGCGTCTCGAACACCTCATTTACCTTGATTCATAAAAATTCGCTTACAGAAAAGAACATAGACCTGAGTTATCGCTTCTTCTCTAGCAAACTAAATTGCGAACGAACCTGATAAAATCATCCGCATTATTAGGTCGACCTGTCGTCAGAATTCAATATAATCCCTCGTAATTAAAGGCATTTGTCACCGACCTTTCAATCATTCAGTGGCAAGTTGCTTTTAACAAAATCGGCAGTTCGTCAGATCAGATGGATAAAAATCTCTGGTCATTGCAAACAATCTGAGTGTCTAATCTTTTCACCAATGAATGCGTTGTCAATACTCCACCCAAATCTATTAATTGTGCTGACCGTACTGTAGCTGTATGCATTCTGAGGTCGCCTTAGGATTAGGATAGCTAGAAAAGCGTATGTGATATTTCCACACTCTTCTTTCTGATAAGCTGTCTGAACAACAATAAAACCGATGAAGCAATCTTAATGATGTGCAATGCCAAAAATCTTACACTCTTCAATCCTTAATCATCTACACCAGAAATATGCAACAAACCTGCAATCGAAGTACAACACATCAAGTATTTTGGAGTCACCTGACATTGTCACATTTAGGAACTGACAATCCTATGTTGCAGGGCATCGTTTTGCATGAAGAATGAGGAAGCTGCATGCACGCAGAGAAAAAATTGAAAATTTCGTTTTTGCATGCATTTTTCCTTTTTTAACCTATGAGGCAACTACAGTCTATCCTACATTACGAAATTGTGATTCTATAGCCTTAAGAAAATTGCTTAAGATAATATAAAAGATCATGGCATATAGTAAACATGAACTAATATCGCGTGTTGCCAAGTAAGTAGTGGCTCAGAGCGATCGCACTGGAAACATCGAGACTGCAAATCCCGTTGTTCCACCGGACAGATGACTATCTAGTGGAATAATCAGCAGGCATAGAAATAAAGGCGCATTTCGAATCGTATAAATTATCAAGATGTACAAAAATCCTGTGATTGAATGCATCTACTTAATACATATCTGTGATCATCTTGCCGATCACAAGTATACACTTCGTTGGCATTCAAATGTCAAGGATATACCATCATGATACAAGTGATTTGCAGGTATATATCATAGCATCAGGGATAGAAAACGACAGGGTTTAAAATGAGATGTATTTTTTGTTCATTTGTAATTGTATGACTTGTATATTAATTGTGTGTCAATCGTCGCTTACCTTTTGGCATGATTAGCTTGATTTCTGAAATTATCAGACAACTGCGATTATCAGTGAACTAATATTTAGCGAGGTAAGAGAGTGGGATTAATTACCATTGAGAATGGCGGTGGATTTAGAGGTGACAGTCTACTCGTCCATTTCGAGCGCTTTTAAGCTTTTCCGTTTTTATTTGAAAATGGTTGAGTTTAAAGCTGTTTCATTTGCGTTAGCGGCGTTAGCGCGGCAGTCGTTTTTATGATCGCCTTTCGGCGTTGAAAGAGAAACAGCTGCGCTCCCGCCAAATGACGTGGTCGATATATATTTACTAGTCATATTCAGGCGTGCATGGACCTTGCACTTGCTTGTGTATAAGTAAAGCATTAGCCATTCGAATCTTTTCTGATTTGCTTAAAAAGGATTAACCTCACAAGGAGGATTAAAAAGGTCTTACACCACAGCCATTGTCACGTTCGCCTTGATAACCTTGGCA